GTGGTACACTTGCAGTTTTCAAATCCTCCTGGGTTTTCCAGAATCTAAGGATTCCTGAAGATTACCACCAGTGCATCCACTATCTCTGTAGTTACTTCCTTTAATATCCGAGGATGAATCCCTGGACATCCAGAGGACTTATCAGTCTTTAGCCCCATTTGTTTCCCTTCCACTTTTTTCTCTCGTGATAGTTGTTGTATTTATTTGCTTTCCTCATTTTGCTCCTTGAATATTTAGTAACTTTCGAATGCTAGTCATGTTTTCTACCTTGAAGATTGATGAAGAAGTCATTTCCTGGTTACCCATTATAATTGTTGGTTTTCAAATCTTTGCAATCTTCTAGCTTACCATTAATTTTTGCCACATTGTATATTTTTTTCTTTCAATCTGATGTTGTCCTTAACTTCCCTGGTTAACCATGGTTGGTTTATCCCTTTCTAAGATTCTTAGTTCCTCACTTGAATATGTTGTTGCTGTGAGCAATTAACATTTTTCTGAAATGTTTGCCACTGTTCTTCAACCACCTTGCTACTAAGCTCCTCCCCAGTCCACTCCAGCCAGCTTCACACTCATTCCTTTGTAATTACCCTTATTTAAGCACTGTTGTTTCTGATCCAAGTTCCTCCCTCTCAAACTGCATGCTAAATTCTACCGTGTTATAATCGCTATTTCAGAGGGGATCTTTTACTCTGACATCATTTATTACACCTACCTCGATCCAAAAAAGCCTGATCCCTGGTTAGATTCACCAAATATGGTTCTAGGAAACTATCACAAATACACCCTATGAGTTCTTCCTCATGGCTTCTCCTGCCAATCTGACTACATCCATGATTAATATACTGCCTTTCTTGTTGTATGCCCTCATTATCTCCTAATTTATTCTCTGTCCCACGATATAATCACTTTTTGGGGTCTATTGATTACTCCTACCAATGTCCTCTTTCCATTTTGTTTTACTCAGAAAAATGAGGGATGATCTTATTGAAATATACAAGATTCAAAAGGAGCTTGACATAGTGGATGTTGAGAAGATGTTTCTGCTAGTGAAGCAATAAAGAATTACAAGGTAATTGTTATGGAATAAGAACTTAAGACATAGAAGCAGAAATAGACCATTCAGTCCACCTCTGGTATTCAATGATCTCACATGTGACAACACAGGTGAAGTAATGGGCAGGGAGGTGGATCACTGTGTCATACATGGGAAAACTGCCCTTAAATCTGCAGATAGTGTCACAGATAATTTTATGGATGAGAATGAAATGTGTCTAAGATTAGATACTTGGGCAACTCCAAGCGTGGAAAGAGAAACCAGTGATGGAAATGCCTTGGCTACAATTCCAGTGAAAAGGTATCAATGATTAAGATGCCTCAACTGCACTTTCCTACTTTTTCCCCAGAACCTTTGATTAAAAATCTATCTCAGCCTTGAATATACCTATAACAAGGCCAGTGCCAGTTTTGTGGTCTAAGTTGAGAACAACTATTAAAAATCCCAAGATAAAAGACATTATTCAGGCATACAAACCATTGAAAATTTTTTTTAAATGAAACACTGTGCTTTAAAATTTCTATGCATTTCCAAGGAGATTCGAGAAACGTGAAACCTATTGAGCCAGATTCCTCGAGGAGTGGAAAACTCATGTTGATAGCCACTCCAGTCAGGTTTTTTTTTAATAAAAAGAATAGAGCTCTCCATTTCTGAGAGGAGATTTCACTCAGGGCTTTCTCAGAAATGTGAGGACGTACTCCCATAAAGGAAAAGTAAGGACTGGCAGGGATGTCTGAGACCAAATGTAAGGAGGGAACAACTGGATGTTATTGGAATAAAACTTTGACAAGAAAAGTATATGCCTGGACTCTGTCTAACTGAACTTTAACCTGTGGTGTTCAATGACATGCTGCAGTGATCAAAACCACTGCCCTGTCCTCACACTGTATACAGTTTATGTTTCCTTGTTCATCATCATCTATACGAACTTCAATGGGTGAAGAGGAAAATGTTGTCCCAGGCTCTATGAACAAAACCCCTCTACAAAAATTGCAATCTGCAGTACAAAAAGGGTGTGGCTCTACAGGGTACAAGGTCCTTTACTGAGGAAGCTACTACATGGAAAATATCAGAGTTGAGTGCAGTTTCAGTCCATGCCACACCAAGCCACTAACCCTAAACAAAATCACAAATAGCATCCTCTATCATGGCATCTTAGCTCCTCATCCTCACTGCAAATCTAAACAATGTCATTGACACCTTTTCACTGGAATTGTAGCCAAGGCATTTCTATCACTGGTTTCTCTTTCCACGCTTGGAGTTGCCCAAATATCTAGTCTTAGACACATTTCATTCTCATCCATAAAATTATCTGTGACACTATCTGCAGATTTAAGGGCAGTTTTCACATGTATGGCACAGAGATCCACCTCTCTGCCCATTACTTCACCTGTGCTGTCACATGTGAGTCACCGGGTTTGGCAGTTAAACATTCGGAAACCTCGTTTATCATCATTGACCCTCACATACACTGTGACTTCACCGCTGATTCCTTCCCTCTCCTTGACCGTGACACTCAGGCTGTTCAATCCTTGATAGAGTTCTTCACAGCCTAACTTCACATCCACGACCTCACATGCCTCCAACCCTGGATAGGCTTGACAGCCATCCATGCCTCTGACATGTTCTTTCTCAACTATTTCAAGAAAACACTTCAAAGAAGCTCTAAAGCTTTCCTTGAAGCATAGTGGAATTGACATTAATAACAGGCAGGGGCATGCTGCCAGTCATTCAAAATGGCAACAACTTATCCATTAAGCTGCATCATACTCTGGGCCAAACTGATTTAATTATGAGGCAGAGCAGCAGCAGAAAAAGAAAGAGAAGGAAACATATCCTGCATTCTGTATTCCATTACCTCATGAGACATTCTGCATCATGTGCCCAAAGATCTGCATGCTGAAATTCAGCCTGTTTGATCAAAACCCACAATCCTAATAGATGTCATCTTTGAATCAAGGGATATTCATTGATGATTTTCTGAGGATTCGGGGCAAACTATTTAGGATGGAGATGAGGAGACATTTTGTCACTCGATAAGTGGTGAGACTGTGAAATTCATTACCAGAGGAAGCAGGTGATGCCAAAACACTGAATGTATTCAACAGATGGCTAGATATAGCACTTGGGGCACATGAGATCAAAGGCTATGGGGAGAAAGCAGGATTAAGCTATTGAGTTGGATGATCAGTCATGATCGTGCTGAATGGTGGAGCAGGCTTGAAGGTGCAGGAACAAGCCATTCGGCTCTATCTTCTATGTTTCTATCCCGCAGTAAATCCCATTTTCCTGGCCTCGCTGCCCTACATTGAATCCCCAATACCTCCAATGTAAAATTCTCACTACATGATGGTGGTGTTGGTGCATCCAACTTAAAACTATGTTGCCATTCCCTAACTGTTTCTGTCACTGTACTTACACCAAAAGGACTTCAGTAGTTCAAGAAGAAGACTACCACCAATTAGGGATGCTTTGCAACAAATGCTATCATTGCAAGCAACATCCAGGTCCCATGAAACAATGAAATTAGATTATTTGTGGAAAATGTTTCCTCTCAACAATGCAACTAGAAGTAAGGAACACAGTTTAAGAACAAAAGGTTCCTCTTTTTAGGTGGAGTTAAGAGAAAGCCTCCCTCTCTTTGGATTGTTAATCTGTGGAATTCTCTTTCCCAGTGAGCAATGGAGACTGGATCATTGAATTTATTCAAAGCTGAGTTAGAAGGATTTTTGATCGACAGCAACTGACAGGATCAGTAGGGTTATAGGTTCTCCTAATGAGAAACTGGACGACATCAATGAGGCTTGTTTTATTCTTGGGTAATGGTGGGTAGGTCACCAATGGCCTCAGCACCTTTCAATCAAGGAAATACGCATCTAACAGAATTCTTACTCTAATAAGAGAAAACTGCTGGGGTGAGGACAGGACCAGCCCCTGGGTGACATGATGCCCACAGCTGAATAATACTCCCCATCGAGATAGACCCAAGCTGTACCAGAAACCAGCAAATGCGCTTGAATATGTGCAAGCAGCTAAAGACTGGGGAGCGGGGTGGCTGGTATTACTAACACAACACTGGACAACATTCGAGTGCAGAGGGGGTCTGTACTGAGGGGAATGTGTAAACTGAAAATGTTCCACAGCAATAGGAAATTGTAATTAATCTCATGCCATCGAAACACTCAAGAACCGGCTGCTATATGAAGCTGACAGGAACTGCTGTGTGTAGGAAATGGCATGCAGCCAGGAAGCAGAGAGCAGGAGAAGGCGGTTAATAACAGGGCACTGGGTTCCCTCCCATCTTCACTAACCTTCAGTTACATGCTGCCCGCAGTTTCCGCAACATCTCTTTGAATCCTTGCAATTAAAGCTTGATTCCCAAATTTCAGACCCAGGTTAAATTGGGATTCTGAGCTAACAGCACACATATTCCTGTCACCAAAACACCCAGAGGCCGTTTGATGTATTACCTTCTCCCTCCCACCTCAGCATCTCTTGCGTCTTCCCTCCTCTATCATCTGGGTATCAAAGCTGTTCAGACAAGAGCTGGGCTCTGCTGCATCCCAGGGACGGATTTCCAAAGGTTCCGACTCCTCAGAAGACACAGGATCCCACAGCCTTGGGGGAGGGAAGACTGTGAGCTCTCAGCCATTATTCCTTAATCCCTTAACCTCACCTCCCATCCTTCTACAACAACAACAAAGACATCCCTTATTTGTTTCGCATCTTCCGAAACCTCCTCTGCAGCCTCGGGAGCCGGAATGACACCAATCCTGTTTGCTGTGCCGAGGAAAATCTGCATTTCTCCGGACGCACGAAGAATAATAAAACCTGCAGCAGCCTGCTTTGCTCATCAGTCACCTTCCCTCCCCACATCACTTAAACCTATCGACTGATACCCGTTTTAAATTTTTTCTCTCACTTTTTGGGGTGATGGGGCAGTTACCTTTTGTAGTCGCTGGAGAAGATGCCCCCGCTAGCCGGGTCGTGTCCATATTCAGGCTCCCCCAAGGACGAGCCTTTCTCGTCGTTGTAAGCGGGGCCACTCGACATGGTGCTGAACGGACAGCGAGCTCGCTCTCTGCGCGAGGATCTGGCGCTCAACCGACAAACAGTTGTGGGGGGAGGGGCGGGGAAAGGGCGGGGCGACTCGCTGTCTTCAGTCGTCGGGAAGGGGTGTGCGTCCGAGAGAAAGCCACTCGCTCTGACGTCAGAGGGGGGATGGGCGTGCGTCGAGGCCGGTCACGTGTCGGAGGGGACCGAATCTCGAAGAAATGGCCGTCAATCTCATAGGGAGGCAGAGGCAGGCACCATCACGCCACTTAAGAAGTATAGGTCGACAGCTGAAGCACCATTGGCATCCAAGGCCTTGGGCCAAGCTTTGGAAAATGGGACGAGGTGGTTAATGGTCGGCACTGACACGATGGGCCGAAGGCTTTCTTTCCACGCTAAAAGACTGATTATTTTTTGAAGGTGGACAAATTCTTGGGCAGCATGGGGCTGACAGGTGAAAAATGGGCATGGGGTATTGGCAGAATTGTGGAGCTGAAGCTATCAGATCAACCGCCATTTAATTCAGTGGTGAAGCAGGTTTGTGGGGCGGAATAACCTGCTCCTGCGCCTGTTCGGCATCCAGGAAACCATTACTTTTCTATTGACCACCTCCTCTCATTCCTTCATTCATTCACTTTACCTTCAATCTCTCACTGATTCTAAGGGAGTGGGGAGGTCAGGAGTCATACTTCAGAGGGAACCTTCCTTACTGATCTTTTGCAACTCCAGAGGGATGAAACAGTTTTAAAAAAAAGTAATTTGTGGAAATGAACATATTGTTCACATTGGAGCACAATTTTGAGTCCATCACCTCTTCAGCCCATCATTTATCATCATTAGGCCTATAGGCTTGAATGTTTTGACATTTCAAGTGCTCATCCAAGTACGTTTTAAAGGTTGTTACGTAACCTGCCTCAACTTATCTTCCCACCAAGTGCATTCCAGGTGAAATTATTTTTCCTAAAATCTATTTTAAACATCTGGCTTTCACCTTAAACTTCTGTTCTCTTGTTATTGACCTTTCTGACCTCATTACAGCCTTGATTCAAATGTACACAAAAGCACTGATCATAAAACCACAAGATATAAGAGCAAAATTAGGCCATTCAGCCCATCAAGCCTGCTCTACCATTCGATCATAGCTGACATGTTTATCAATCTCCTGCCTTCTCCCTGTACCCTTAATCCCCCCCATACCAATCAATTTAAGAGAAGGTGATGGCTTAGTGATGTTATCACCAGTCTATTAATCCAGAGACCCAGGTAATGTTCTGGGGATCTGGGTTCGAAATGTGCCATGGAAGATTGTGGAATTTGAAGTCAATTTTTAAAGAAATCTCAAATTAAGAGTCTAATGGTGACCATAAAGCCATTGTTGATTGTCAGGAAAAACCCATCTTTTTTTAGGGAAAGAAATAGAATCATGGAGATGACCCTTCAGTTCAACTTGTCCATGCCAACCAGATATCCTAAATTATTCTAGTCCCATTTGCCAGCATTTGGCCAATATCCCTCTAAACCCTTCCTATTCATATAACCATCCAGATTATTTTTAAATGTAATTGTAGGAGCCTCCACTACTTGCAGTTGCAGTTCATTCCATACATGCACCACCCTTTGTGTGAAAAGTTGTCCTCTAGGTCCCTTTTAAATCTTTCCCATCTCACCTTAAACCTGTGCCATCTAGTTTTGGACTCATCTACCCTCGGGAAAAAACCTTGACTACTCACCCTATCCATGTTCCTCATGTTTTTATAAATTTCTATAAGGTCACCCTCAGCCTCCAATTCTCCAGGGAAAATAGCCACAGCCTATTCAGCCTCTCCCTCTAGTCAAACCCTCTGGCCTTGGCAACATCCTTGTAAATCTTTTCTGAACCCTTTCAAGTTTCACAACATCTTTCCTACAGCAGGGAATCTGCCAAACTTACCTGGTCTGGCCTAGATGTGACTCCAGACCCACAGCAATGTGGTTGACTCTTAACAATTAAGGATGGGCAATGAATGCTAGCCTAGCCAATGATGCCCATAACATATGAATGAATTTAAAAAGAACTGTCTATCTCTGTTTTAAATACTTGGCTGCACAGTCCGCTGTAACAATGAGTTACACAGATTAACCACCTTCTGGCTGAAGGAATATGACACCTAAAGGGTCATACCTTCAGTCTGACACTGTGCCCTCAAGTGCTATTCTCTCCTACTAGTGGAAACATCTTCTTCACGTCCACTCTATCCAATTCTCTCAGTATTCTGTAAATTTCAATCAGATCCTGACTCATCCTTCTAAACTCCATTGAGTACGGACCCACAGTCCTAAAAAGCTCCTCATATGAAAAGCCTTTCATCTCTGGAGTAATTCTTGTATACCTCCTCTGCACCCCCTCTAAGGCCAATGCCTCCTTCTTTAGATATGGGGCTCAAAACTGCTCACAATATTCAAAATGAGATCTGACTAGAACCTTATACAGCCTCAGCAGTACCTTTCTGCTCTTGTATTATTGTCCTCATGAATTGAATATCAACATTGCATTTGCCTTTCTAACTGCCAATTGAACCTTCATGTTAACCTTAAGAGAATCCTGAACTAGGACTCCCAAGTTCCTTTGTGCTTCAGACTTCGAAAGCCTCTCCCCATTTGGAAAATAATCTATGCCGCTGTTGTTCCTACCAAATAATCTCACACTTTCCCATGTTGTATTCCATCTGCCACTTCTTTGCCCACTCTCTAGCCTTTCCAAGTCCTTCTGCAGCTTTCCTCCTTCCTCAACACTACCTGTTCCTCCATCTATCATCTGCAAACTCAGCAACAATGCCCTCAGTTCCTTCATCCAGATTGTTTATGTGTAATATGAATAATTGTGGTCCTCCACTAGTCACTGACTGCCATCCTGAAAAAGACTCTTCTACTGGCAGTCAGCCAATCTTCTATTCATGCCAGTATTTTGCACCTAACAAATAGCTTCCTATTTAGCAACTGAATTCCAGAGGTGGGGTGAGGTGAGAGTGATAGCCCTTGTTATCAAGGTCACATTTGACTAAATGTGACGTCAAAGAGTCCTAGCAAAACAGCAATCAATGGGAATCGGGGGCAAACTCTTTTCTATCTGGAGCCATACCTGGCACATAGGAAGATAGTTGTGGTTGTTGGAGGTCAATACGTGTGCCAATACTGAGGGATTGCCTCATGTAATGGGTTCAGAATTGTGGGAGTACCACCTCATTGAAGGGTCAATACTAAGGTATTGCAGCTCTATCAGAGGGTCACTACTGAGGGAGTGCGTTATTTTCAGAGGGTCACTATTGAGGTGTTGCAGCACTGTCACAGTCAGAACTGTTAGAGGGCATGATTGTTAGAGGGTCAATACTGAGCACTGTGAGAGTGTCATACTGAGGGAGTGCTTCATTGTCAGATGGTCAGTACTGAGGTGTTGCATCACTGTCAGATGGTCAGCATTGTTGGAGCGCATCTACCACCAATCACTGATGTGGTGCCACTGGACATTGGCCTCCAGTAACACAAACAGCCTTCTACAGCCATCCTCTATGCCAAGTTGCCCTAGATCCCATGTGCCTTTACATTCTTTATCAATCTTCCTTTTGAGACCTTGTCAAGGACTGCTGAAATCCATATAAACTGCATCAACTGCCCTACCCTCATCCAAACACTTGGTCACCTCTTCAAAAAATTCAACCAGATTTGTTAACCCTCCTCTGACAAAACCATACTATCTATCCCTGATCAAACCTTGCGTCTCTAAATGGTGATTAATTCTCTCTTCTCCAATAGTTACTTTACCACTGATGTGAGATTTTACCTTCTTTTGCCGATCACCTTAAATCTGGTTCTCGATCCTCCCACCATAGGAAAAAATTTCCCCACTTACCTCTGCCCATATCCTTCATGTTTATGAACACACCTCTGTCAAATTTCCTCTCAAACTTCTCCCACCCAAGGAAACAATCTCAACTTCTCTAATCTATCCACATAATTGAAGTTTCTCATACCTAGAATCATTTCCTTCAATCTTTCCTGCACCATACCCCTATGCTGTCACCTTCTTACTGTAATGCAATTACCGTAGGTGTCAGTATATACACTAACCTTTGATTCATCAAGAAACCATCCAAGAACAGAGGTCAACGTCTTCCCAAATATGAACGTGAACTATGAAGGGACCAAAGTTATGACAGATAAATTGCTGATGACACAAAGAAAGATAGGAAAGTGAGTTGTGAAGAAAACATAATGAGCCTACAAAGGTATATAGATAATGAGTGGGCAAAGATCTGGCAAATGGAGTATAATGTGGGAAAGTGTGAAATTACCCATTTTGGCAGAAAGAATGAAAAAGAAGCATTTTATCTTAATAGTGAGAGGTTGCAGATCTCCGAGATGCAAAGATCTGGGTGTTCTAATGCATGAATTGCAGAATGTTAGCATGCAGGTACAGCAAGTAATCGAGATAGCTAATAGAATGTCATGTTTTATTATGAGAGGAAATGAATACAAGTGTAAAGAGGTTATACTTCATTTATACAGGCATTTGTTGCAAGGCCACATCTGGAGTACGATGTTCAGTACTGGTCACTGTACCTACAGACAGACTAGGCCTATAGCCTCTGCAGTTCAGAAGAGTCAGAGAGGTCTTAATTGAAACATAATATCCTGAAGGGACTTGACTGGGTGGATGTTGAAAGGATATTCAGAATCTAGAACTAGAGGCCATCCATTTAAGATGCAGGTGAGGAAAGGTTTTTTTTTCTCAGAGGGTTGTGAATCTTTGGATTGCCTTCATCAAAAGGAAGTGGATGCAGCATCTTTAAAAGTTTTTTTTAAGGCAGTGGTAGATAGATTCTTGATTATCAAGAGGATGAAAGATTATCAGAGATATGCAGGAATGTAAAGTTGAGGTTAAAATCGAGATCAGTCATTATCCTTTTGAATGGCAAAGCAAGCTTGAAGGACCGAGTAGCTTATTTTTGTTCAAATGTTAGTAA